CCCCAGCCCAGTCCGTCATAAACCAAATTATTGATATTTCTTGAAGTGACACACGACCCGAGGAAGGCTACACTTTTTCCCGATTTTCGACACACCAAGCTGAAAAGGTTAGCCATCACTGAGCTAAGCAAAGCTGAAGTAAGATAAGTTGCAATTTCACTTAGTGATCGGTTGCTTAAGGACCAAGTTGCCAGTCCCAGTTGTAGTAACTAAATGAGGACTAAGTACGTCTAACTCTATATAGCAATACAGTGCAGGTTTAGTTACAAGTAAGTTTCCTTCAGTTCTGTGAGTTCAGGAGTGTGCTCATAGTTTCCCCATCATGTTAAGTGTGGAAAGACTGCTTTCAAGCATTTTACAAGCATGTTTTTTTAATTGTGTGCCTCCCAGAATTGTTTAGGAGTTGGGTGATCCTTAAAATAAATACATAAACAGACATTTCTGAGAGATGAATTGATTGGTATATGTCTTCTTTTATTGATTGAGAATTTTTGATGGAAGTCAAATATCATTGCCCTCTTACATACCAGCTAGATCAATAGGATGCATGCTGGATTTTAATTACTTATTATAAATACTGTCACTTTTATCTTTTTGTCTATAAAACTTTTAGCATCTGTCAATCACAATAATGAAATGCAAATATTAAATGACAAGCTAAACAGCCAGCATCAAAAACATAAACTAAGTCAGAAAGAAGTAGATGAAATAATAATAATAAAATTGAATAAGAGTGAAGAGAAATAAAGGGAAATTGGATAAGAGGTTTTTGTATGTTTATATGGAAATGGTTTAAAATAGAATTATAGTTTACCTGACTTGTTAAATTTATAATGGAAAAAGGTTTAAACATGTAATGGAAAATGATGACTTGTGTGTTTTGAAAATCAATAAAACTTGTTTAAAAAAAACAAAACATAAACTGGCAAAAAGTCATTACACATTTTTCTTCACCTTGATTTTTGAAAGAGCATTGCTTCACTGCTGAAAAATATTGTTAGCAGTGGGACAATATTTCTCAACTGTGAGAGCATTCCACAGAGATAGCATGGTTATATAAAGGTGGGGTTTTTATGTTTTGTGTCTTTATTGATTATAACTAGAACTTGTAGGACCTGCTAGAAATTAGAAATGATGAACAATATCTTATATGTGTTTATGTAGAAATCTCCCCCCTTCCTTGCTGAATGATTAGGTTGCATTATAATACCAGTGGTTAATTTGCCCATGTTTTATTTAATTTATCCAATTTCCTAGGGTCACAGGGATTATAAACCAATCACATGTATTGTGTTTGTGTGCTAGGATGTAATTGGCTAATGTGTCAGTATGTTATGTGGAAACAGCCAAAGGATTACTTCCAGGAAGTTCCATTAGGATTGTGAAGTCCTGTACTCATTAAGAGTAAATTCATCCCATTGAGCATAGTGGAACTTATTTTTGAGTAAACATGCATAGCCTTACCTGAACAAAGAAAATCATTATTGTTTTATATTATGCATTTTTAAAAAATAAACGCACATTTTCTATCAGCTTAAAATCAGATGTGCTAGAATCTTTTCATGAGAGTAAAGCAATCATCTTAGCTCCAGCCAAGCACAATTCCAAAGTTTCAGCCGATAAACTATCCTATTAATAGAATAAGTTATACTGAGGAACGGTATTGAAATATAATCAGATATATCTGTTTTTATACACACACAAATACAAACAATATAATCCTTGTGTGTCTAATCAAGGAGAGAAGCAACCTAGAACTAAGGAGAAATTTCCTGACAGAACAATTATCTATGGAAGAATTTGCCTTCAGAAGTTGTGAAAGTTTTTAAGAAGAGATTGGACAACCATTTGTCTGAAATAGATAGGGTTTCCTGCCTAAGCAGGGGGTTGGACTTGAAGACCTCCAAGGTCCCTTCCAACTCTGTAATTCTACTCTATTCTATTTTCTTTTGTGGAACCCAGTATGTGTAATACCTTGCTCAAGGAAAGTGGGTTTCCAGCAGAGCATACAACATCCTATCACTGGCTGAGCAGGAGTCTTTGGCAAAGAGCTTTCAGCTTATATATTGCATATTGTTTCTTCCATTCTGATTCTTTTTGGGTTTACTGCTGTTTCATGGTTTATTTCTTTTTATGATACTGTTTTTCCATAGTGCTATTGATATATGTTTTATTATTCCAATTGTATGAAGTTATGTTAAAGTTTGGATTCTATACCTAGTCGCATGGGATTGAATCAGTGGAATATACTTCTGAGTGTACTTGCACAGGAATATGTTGTAAAACAGTCTGGTGTATCTCCTTTAGATCGCTCCTCTGTGTATTCTAACATTTAACCCTAACCTTTAGTTATTTATAAAAACAATAAAGGTAGGATATCAATAAGTTTGTTTGGATTCAGAGGACTTCAATACAGTATAATACATTGCAAGATAGGTACCAACCTGAAAGAGTTTCTGTAAAGTTTTAATATAGCTATATAAAATTTGCCTTCCTAAATTCAGATAGGACACTCCTGTTTTACTGCATAAATACAGACTGCGATGTTTCATAATGTTGAATTATTTATTCTCTGGCATAGCTTTTCTAAAGACTAATATAGTTATACTGATTTTGATGAGATCCAAGCTAAACAAGTTCGCTACTCTTGCTTCAGAATTTTAATTTCTAGTTAGTTTGGTGATCAGCCAGTTAGCCACCAATAGATAATAATCTGCATTCTGCCACTTCTGTCGAACAAATCCAATGCATATCCAGAAAATCATCCAAGCGTGATTAATATTCATCTTGTTGCTTATCAGCAATTTGTTATTTATGAATGAATGACATGTTCAACATAATATGTAAAAAGATAAAGTGATAATACTTTAAGCAATGCCGTTCTAATATAGAGTTTATACATATTTTTATTGAGAAACACATTTCAATGTTACTCTTTTCTAGGTTTTCTGAAAAAAAAGAAAGATTAAAGCACCTTAGAAAGAAACAGCATGAATTCCAGTCTCAGTAAGTCCCAATTCATTCTATTTTACTTTATTTAAGTTGACATTAATATACAATCAACATAATTCACCTTATAAAATTCACCTATAAAAGTATATTTCTAGTTGCCAATTAATGTTCTATTTCTTTTTCCACTCCTCCACTTTTTATAGGTTGTTAAAAGCTATAGAGGGGAAGCAGATAGCAGATCAACTGGTGAGCATTGCAGAATTCTTGCACTTCATATTTCATTTCAACTAGTTTTCCTTAGTGCTGTTATTCATGGTGCTCTGTCTTATATGGTATCTACCATATTTTTCAGAGTATAAGATGCACTCTCTCCCCCCAAAAGTGGGTGGAAATGTCTGTGCATCTTATACAGTGAATATTGCTGAAGCTCTGCCCACCTGCTGGCCCCCGCCCTTTGGCCTCTGCCTCCCACCCATTTACCTTCTTGCAGCAAACAGCCTGATCAGCTTCAGCACAGCCTAATTAGCACAAGCAGCTGATTGTCGGTTGGATTGGCTTCCTGACGATCAGCTGTTTCAGGCTGCAGGAATCGCCATTGCCTATTGCCCCCTCCACGCACCCCATTTTCAGGCTCCGCATCCTGTTTTCAGCCTCTGTGTGCCCTGTTTTCGGCCTACACACACGGGTGGGATTCAATTTTTTTAACAACCGGTTCTGTGGGCGTGGCTTAGTTGGTGGGCATGGCTTGGTGGTCATGTGACTGGCTGGGCATGGCCAACTCAGCATCACTCACAGCAAGGCATGCATCTCCTCGCCTGGGCTCTTATGACTGTGGGGATGCTGCAACAGTCGTAAGTGTGAAAAACAGTCATAAGTCACTTTTTTCAGTGCCATTGTAACTTTGAATGGTCACTCCACACAAGCAAAGTACCAGCAAAGGAGGAAAAAAAACGTCCAGAGACATTCCAGAGACAGGAAGTCTAGTCCTGCCAAGAATGTAATAAGTATTAATGGAGAGGCAGTTTCTGTAAGCAACACCAGAATGTTTCCTTCCTGCCTTTCTTACAGGATTAGGCCAGTAATTTCTTCTAACAACCGGTTCTCCGAACTGCTTAGAATGTTAACAACCGGTTCTAGCGAATAGGTGCGAACCGGTAGAATCCCACCCGTGCCTACACACACCCTATTTTCGGCCCATTCAGGAGGCTGATCCAATCGACAATCAGCTGCTTGTGCTAATCAGGCTGTACTGAAGCTGACCAGGCTGTTTGCTGTAAGGATACAAATTGCTGGGAGGCAGAGGCAGATTTCCCCCCCCCCCCTTGTTTTCCCCCAAAAGCTAGGTGCATCTTATACTTCGGAGCGTCTTATACTCTGAAAAATACAGTAGGTGATGGTGCCCGTATTATTGTAAATAACTGAATTTCAGCCCAAATAGACAAATGCTTGTTACATTTATAAAAGCTGGTGCTTAAGGTAGGTTATATTCAAATATATCTCTTTTGGAATATCAGAATACTGTTCTGACTTTACCTAATGCTGGTCCAGGCATTCCAAAAGTGTTCATAGCTCAAAATTGCTCTCCTTCAAGCCTGCATTCGAAACAAGGTGGTTTCAAGTGCAAAACAGCTCCGGGAGGGTTATAGTAGTGCTAGAATACTTCTAATAAGATTGAATCAATTTATTTCAAACTCAAATCACTTTGTACACCATTATTAAATAGTACGATAGTCAAGATATTATCAGTTGCTCTTAAGTTTGATATAAGATTTGTGCCTATTGAAAGTAGCACTTGGGTCCCCTGATATAGAATTTTTTGTCCCTGTCTGATATAGAACTTTGTGTAAGGATTTGACTGCCATTGTTATTTGAGGAGGCAGCACAATGGCTCAGTGGTTAAGATGCTGGGTTTGTCAGCTGGAAAGCCAGCAGCCCAGGTTCAAGACCCAAGCGCCACGCACAGGCTGAGCTCCTGTCCTCACCCCAGCTCCTGCCAACCTAGCAGTTTGAAAGCATGCAAATGCAAGTAGACAAATAGGTACCGGAAGGTGACATCATGATGGCCACATGACCATCATGTGGAAATGTGACATTTGGATTTGGAAAGCCCTATCTCAATGGCCTTGAAATGGAGTTGAGCAACGCCCCTTATAGTCTGCAACAACTAACAGAGTATAATCTGCAGGGATTTACCTTTTTTTTTACCTTGTTATTTGAGGATCACTGCAGGTTGGCCTAGAGAAACTTTCTACTTCGGAGAGGATGCATAAAGAACTAGCAGATAATAAAAATCTATAGCTTGATTTAGACAGTTTGGTTGAAGTATCAATCATTCTGTTGTGTAATTCTCCTATAAAATGAAGGTAAAACTAAAATGCAGGGAAAACCAAAGCATAAATGATTAATTGTCAAATTTAAAGGTAAATCTAGGGCACGGGTGTCAAACTTGCCACGTCAAGTTGCCGTCATGTGACGTTTTTCCCATTTGTGGAGCTGGGGTGGGCATAGCCTGCATGTTACACATCTGCCCCGTGGGCTGCCAGTTTGACAACCCTGATCTAGGGCAGGGGTCGCCAACCTTTTGGACCTCAGGGACCACCAAACTCATAATTTTAAATCCCACAACCAGAGACCCTGGGAAAATCCCCAAAAAAGTCCGCAGGAAAATTCTCCACCCTGTTTTCCTACTGATCAATCATTCTTTATTTGAGATTGCAATGCCGTCTCCACCTCCATTCTCGGGGGGGGGGGGGGGGGGGGGGGAGGGAGAGAGAGAGAGAGAAGACGTTTGGCTTCATGCAAGGAAAGCAGCAGAAGTCTTTCTTTCTCTCCCCCAAACTCCTCCAGAAATGAGTCTTTGCCGGCGCAGCCTCTTGGAGCAGGATGCCTTGCAGGGTCCCAAAGACTCATTTCTGATGGAGTTTGGGGGAGAGAAAGAAAGACTTTTGCTGCTTTCCTTGCGTGCAGCCAAAAGCAGAAGTGGAAAGAAGCAGCCCAGTGGCCAGGCGAGGCGCGTGGGGCACTCTGTCCTTTCCCCCTCCTCTCACTACCTTGTGTTGTTCGCAATGCAAGCGATGCAAGCCTTGTGTTCCCACGGGCCATGTGGGCGGCGCAGCCTTGTGTTCCCACGCAGCCTGGATTAATTGCTTTGGGGGGTGTCATTCTCTGCGGACCACCAAAATTTTCTCATGGACCACCAGTGGTCCCCGGCCCATTGGTTGGCAACCACTGATCTAGGGCATCCTAATTACTTAATGTTCCCTTGACAGTGACCTCAGCAACTTCTGGGTTGCTGATTAAATTGAATGGATTTTGGAAATGGAGTTAACATCTGTTTACTTTGAAGAAAATGACTTTTTTAAAGACTGGAAAAAATTGTTTATGGAGGTCCTAATAGATGTTCTTTTGCTTTCAGAGATGGAAAATAATGTCTTGCAAGATGAGAATTGAGCAGCTGAAGCAAACGATATGTAAAGAAAATGAAGAAATAGCAAAAAGTAAATGATGGTTGTAGATGTCTTTGCAGATTCCTGTTATGAAATTTCTTTTCTTTACCCATATATTCTCCAAAAATTGTAGAAAGTTAATTTAGCAACTTTCATTAGCTTCTTTGATAAAAGGAGTAATGGTGTAAAAGATTATTGCCTTCATATTTCAAATTTTCCTTTGCACTCCTGGGCTGTATATTTTATTTATTTAGAAGATTTATATGGCCACCCATTCAATCTCAGTGACTGTGGGCAGCTCACAAACAATAAAAAACTCAATATAAAAGATTAAAAAACAGTGACTCCTCATCCCCAATACTACTATGAAGCAGTATTGGATGTATGTTTAAATATATTTAAAATTGATTGGCCAAATAGGCCTACCTGGCATTTTGGGTACCCTCAAGGGAGCTTCCACAATTCTTGGATACTAGTAGTGGGGTAACATGCAGCATTTTTGATACATAACAGGGTCAGAGCAGGTACATAATTTGAAAACCAATGTTCTAGTCCAAAGAGAATTATTTGACAATAGTACATATATAAAATGTTTCTTGTTTTTATGTGAAAATAACATATATGTTCTTTCACATTAATAATGTATAAAAATGTAGATGTCTTAGGAAGTATCTGTATTTGAAAGTGAAATCTTAAAACTACAGAGCAAGAATTCCATGGAAAATGCATTCTCAGCCTAGCATTTATCTGCTTGTGTTGAAGAATATTAGGTAGTGGGATATATAATCTCTTTTATTCTTTTAATTGTAATTAGTTCATTTATTAAATTTATTCCTTGCTTTTCTTGAGAGCAGTACACATTTAAAACAAAAATACCAGATTAAACTGTAGCATTAAAATCAATAAAATTAAGAATCAGTTGATGAATTGAAATGCCTCCTTACTGTGTTTTTAAAATAATAGTGCTTTATGGCTCAGTGCATCCATCTCCCTAGAGAGGACATTCCATAGCTTGTGAGAAACACAGCCCCTTTTCCTAGGTACCATGTAGATTAACCTTTGAAAGTGAGACATCTTCAAAACTTCCTCTACTACTGATTTGTATGATGTGGCAGTGGTCCCTCAACTAATTAAGCTCTGTGATGCTTAAGGCTTTAAAGGTCAAGATCTTGTGATGTAACCAAGATGTTGATAACCATCTCTGTCTAACCTACTCAAGAAGGGTTGTAATTGTTGTTATGGCGGAAATTGTGTAAAGGTGATCCTTACCATAGTCACTTCTTGGGAATGCAGTGACAACTAAGGATCAAAAGCACTACTGGATTGCTATTTCAACAAGAATCCAAAACAGACTGAACATCAATCTCACTCCAGTTCTCTCCAGATCAGCAGCTACAATGTTGGGATAATTCCAGCAAAGGATTATTTTAATAACCCAGATTTTGCAAGATATATGAGCGCTGTCTGTCCTGAAATCCTAATAACTTCCAATTACTTCTGCCAAATTTTCTTTTGATTAGTGGGAGAAATGTGAGTGGTCATGCAAACCAAATACTGGGCTGCAGCTGGCTTTGTTTTTCTTTTCTCAGAGGCTCTATTGGGCCTAGACATTTTACTCAAGATCAAGATAATACTGGAAGATCAAGATAATACTGAATACTGGTTTAGCCCTTATAGCATGTCAATTTCTGTTTTTCTTTAACAAGTTTTCTAATGTTTCTAAGTTAGGTGGGACAAGGTAACATTGGCATCCTAAAATGCTATGCTGTGGATTTCAGATTTAACCCTGCTTGGAGATCCCAGACACCACTTTATTTCACAGTCCTTACATATTTCTACTAACGATAACAATGTATAACTTTGTGTATCTAAGTATTATAATTTATTCATACATTAGCCATTGAGTAATCAGCTGCACCATTTTGAGGGTCTTCCAAAGATTTATTTTTGCCTGTGTTGTTCTAGATTCCGAGTGGCTTCTTAGGATTAAAGATGAGAACCAGAAACTTTACCGAAGGGCTCAGCGCCATCAGGACAAAAAGGAGAAAATCCAGAGGCACAATCGCCGACTTGGAGAGCTAGTGGAGAAGAAGAACCATGACTTGAGAAGCCATCATGAGCATCTGGCAGATCTCCGGCGGTCACATGTCCTGGAATTAACCTCTGTTATATTCCCTATTGAGGAAGTGAAAATCGGTATGAGGTAAGCAGGAGGAGAAGTGTGGCTGATGTGGTTCACCATATATTCAGGAAGTGGTTCACTTTCTTAGTCTATATAGGAGAAATGAGGTTTCTATATATTTTTGTAATAAGGAGCAAAAAACCAGAAGGCCATGACACAGAAGATGCTCTGAACTGAGATGTTCTTCTCCATGGTTGTTTGAAAATAAGCCTCACTGAAATCAATTGAGTTTACTCCTTTAAATTGAAGTGTCAATTTAATTTGTATTCTCCCTTTTTTATGGTAGTTTTTCCTCAAAACACTGAGATGATTAGGCTGAGAATTCATTACTGGTTTAGGATATTTGGAAGCTTTAGTACCAAGTTGTATGGTTTAGCAAATACCTTAATGTTTGGAATGAATCAACTGAGCCCTTGGATAGCTGGCAGAGTTGGAATACTGGGACATATCAACCACAAATACAGGTAGTCCTCGACTTACAATAGCTTGTTTAGTGACCATTCAAAGTTACAGCTGTGTTGAAAAAAAAATATGACAATTTTTCATACATGCAACCATCGAAGCATCTCCATGGTTACGTGATCAAATTTCAGATGCTTGGCGATTGACTCGTATTTATTACGGTTGCAGTGTCTCAAGGTCATGTGATCTCCTTTTGCGACCTCCTGATAAGCAAAGTCAATGGGGAAGCCAGATTCACTTAGCAATTGCAGTGATTCACTTAACTGTGGCAAGAAAGGTCGTAAAATGGGGCAAAATTCACTCAACAAATGTCTCCCTTAGCAACAGAAATTTTGGGCTCAATTGTGGTCATAAGTGGAGGACCACTTGTATACAAGATTGTAATCAACAAGTTTGAATAGAAAGGACATACTTAAGGGATTTTCAGAAGTATTAGTTTGGAAAGGCCAGCATTGCCCGTTGCATAGGTAGATACCACTCCATTTATCCCCTTTTCAATAGAAAGCACTTCCTCTAAGCTCCTTCCTTAAATGGGTTGCTTGGGCTGGAGCTCCTCAACCTGTTGTTGAAGGTTCTTGGATAGTTGTAGTCTCTTCTCTAAGCTTTGCCACCTGGTCTTCTCCAGGAGTACCAAATACTTTGAAGGACTAGACC